GTGAGGTAATGTAAAGGGGTTAGATTAAGTGAGGGATATTTATGTGTTTGAGAGGAAAACAGGTTGTCGAAGGGAGGATAGGTGGGGGGGGGGGGGAAGCAGAGCTACAGGCTGCTTCAAAACGTGTGCATGATAACAGAATGTGTGAGACTGAAAGAGGAACATTACATAAAGAGCACAGGGGTGGATCGGATTGCGACATCAGATAGGTGTTAGACGGGTGTGGAAAGGGATGCTTGTGATATAAGGGATTCATGTGTGTATCCAGGAGGGAGTGGAAAGGATAGAGGGGATGGTGGGAGGGTTAATGTGGGTGGGGTTGGAGTTGGGGGGGATGGGTTGTGTTGGGAGGGGGTAGGAGGATAGGGTGTAGGGGAGATATCGTTAGGAGGAGGATGGATATCAGCAGTCACTTGGTGTGTGGAGGAAGCAGGAGTTGTAGGATTTGAAGGTTGATGGGGGTCAGTTTTCATTAAGAAGTCTTGGATATTTTCAAGAGTTTCTTCAATGGAGTTGGTTGGGGAGTTTTGTGGGATAAAGGATTTCTTGTGAGGGGGGGGAGAGAACGCTGGTGTCTCAAGAGAGTTTTGGGGGATAAAGGATTTCTTGTGAGGGGGAGAAGAGAGGACTGGTGTCTCAAGAGTAGGGGCAAAGGATGGTGGAGGTGATTGTGTGGTAGGGGAAGAGGGGGTGGAACGTTTGTTCTGTCTGTTACGGGGAGTGCGAGGAGGGAGAGAGGAAGGTGTTGGGGTTGTAGTGGTGATTGGAGTATCTGTAGTAGAGATTGGAGTTTCTGGATTTAGGATGGCAAAAGAGTTTGACTGGGGAAGGTAGGTGGGGTTAGTGGGGGGGTTAGATGTAGGAGGGGTGGGTTTAGGAGAAGTGTTAGAATGAGCAGTATTACTGGAGTAAGGAGTAAGAGAGAATCCACGTCGACGTGCTTCCTGTCTGGCTTCACGCAGTGTGAGTCCGAGTTTGAATCTGAGAGTTGCTACCTCAGATTCAAATTTGTAGGTGGGACAGCCCCTATAAAATACATTATGGGGGCCGCCACAGTTGGCACATGTGCGTGATTGTGCAGAGCAGTTAGATCGGGTATGGCCAGGTTGGGCACATAATGGGCATCTGGCTGTGGAACGGCAGTGTTTGGCTGGGTGTCCTAGACGCCAACAATTTTGGCACTGACGTGGAGGAGGTTGGTATGGACGAACAGGGAGGGATTCTCCTCCTATGTAGACGTTAAAGGGAAGGTCATGTCTACGGAAGGTAATTTTGGCTATGTTAGTGGGTTTCTTTCGATGACCTCTGGGGGGGATGGAGTAGCATTGTACTGATGTTGCATCGTAGTCTGTGAGACAGGCAAGTAGATCTTCTCCACAATCTGACCAATCTTTGTCATAGATTGGGCAATTTGCTGGTGAGATTGAGACTGTTCCGGTGCAAGTATTGAGGGTTGGATGGGGTTCTGCTAGGATGGGGTTACCATATAGGTCAGTTAGTTTTGTTAATGCAATGGCTTGGTTTTCGGATGTTACTGTTACAAGACGGGAGCGGTCGGGTCGGCTACGGAAAGAGACTTTACCTACTTGTTTTTGGAGGCATTGTTGGAAGAGAAGGGTGTTGTCAGAGTAGGGAGCTGTGGGAGGGATCACGAAAAATCGGTCCCATTTGGCTCCACTGAAGAGAGTATTCAAGATTGTTTTAGAGATAGGGGTGGTAGAAGGTCGAGGGCGTGACGAAGATGGAGTAGTGTTGATGGAGGTAGTGTTATGGAGATGTGGGCTATAAGGCTGTAAGGTATTAATAAGGGAGGATGGGGTGGTTGATGTTGGAGGTTGTGGGGGTAGAGGTGTTGAAGTTGGGCATGCTGGGAGAGTGGAAATGTTCCTTGAGGGTTGATTGTTGGCTACTGTACTAGTAGGCATTGGTGAAGGGGCAGTTATTGCAGTGTTTGGAGCCGTGGTCAAAGGAGAGCCTGGGGTCGGGGAATCGGGTGGGTTTACTTCTTTGGGGCTATTTGATAAAGGGGCAAGCCTCATTGCCCCTAACAGTGGGGATATATTTTCATTACTGGCCATGGTAAGCCTGGTTATGTTGGGGATAAAAATAGTCCACCCCTCAGGGTCCCCTTGAGGGGTAAGGGCTAGATACTAAATCAGGGGAATACCGTGCCCATGGCTCCCTCAGGCCGTTCAGGACTGGCACAAAGTCAGCCTTTCATCCTTTCAGCACGGCTCTCACACCTTAGGAGGTGGATAGCAGAAGGGTTTGATGAAGGGACAGAAACAAAAGTGGGAAGGGAAAAAAAGACCATGCACAATTAGTTGAGTCGAGGGCTGAGTCCCAAGGTTGGGGAGTTCCCCATCATTGGGTCCCAGTCTCCGCCTCCTAAGCCTCCCCACGACAACAACGGGCAAGGGATTGGGGGGGTGATTTAGGTGTGGAATTGGTTGTTTAACCAGTACCTTTCCCACCTCTGACAGCCCTTATCGGCCATGCCAGCCAATCAGACCTGTTTGTCAGGACATGCTAATCAGGCCCATCCACAGAATTGAGCAGTGCTATACTTTTAGCCTTCCATGTGATATTACTTATTTATTGCCATGTCACACGTCAGTATCTAAGGTCACTGGTGGCTTATTCAAAATATAGCAATAGAGTGGAACTTGGAGGTGAGGTCCCCAGGTAAGGAAGGTTTTTAATTCATAAAACTATGTTTGTGTATTTCCAGAATGGTTAATAGTGAAAACAAATGTGTCATACATCAAAGTTCATAAGCATTATGATAAAGTAAAGGGGGAAAGGGTAAAAATGACTTAATGATTCCAATAAGTGGAAGAAGAAGGGTTGAAGAAGATAAGAGGAAAGGAGAAGAGAAGCCTAAGCAAAATTCGTCGAGGTGAGAGTCAAGGTCCAAGGCCGAGCGATTCCCTACACTGGACCTCAGTCATGATCCAAAGCCAATGCACAGGAAGCAAGACATGGGGGGGGGGGGGGGGGGGGTCCATATGATATTTATTTGCTGAAAATTTTCTGCCACATCAACATCTATGGTCAATAGCAGCTTATACAAAATATAGCAACTGGGTAAGATTTTGGGATAAAATCCCCAGGTTAAGTTTTTTGGTTCAGTAAGGGAATGTTTGGGGATTTTCAGTATGGTCAATGGTCAAATCAAACAAATGTACCAGACATCAAAAGTTACACAGAATTAAGGTAAAGTATTGTAGCAAAAAGGGGTTAACAATTTGGATAAGTGGTCAGAAGAAAGGGATGAAGAGAAGAAAAGACCCTGCAGAATTAGTTGAGGCAAAGGCTGAGGGCCAAAGAAGGGGTAGGCCTCAGTCTCTGCCTTGTAAGCCCGCCAAGGCACCAATCAGCAGGGGATTGGGGGATCCATATGACATTTTATTTTATTCATTGAAAATTTTCTGCAGCATCAATATCTAAGGTCCTTAACAGATGCTATACGACATCAAAGGTCATATGGCACTATGGTAAAGTATAGTAGTGAAAAGGGTTAGGAATGAGTTAATGATTGAGCCACACTCCCCATCTCCCGAGCTCCCCGCAACAACGAGCAAGAGACTTGGGGGATCCATATGATAGAACACTGTTGGCTGGGCGGTTTCGGTCATCATGCTGTGTGTGTGATAATTTATACAGATGTTTACAAAGCATAGCCAGGCAGGAGTGAGAGGTGCCTAATAGGGTCTTGTGCAGTAAAATAAGTACACTGAGCAACAGATTAGTGATAAAGAGGATCTAGAGAGTCCATTTGTAATGCTACATGCCTGTCTAGTTAACTGGCTCACTTACACCTGTAGATACTGATCATGTGGATAGGACTCTACCATCACATTTATTGGTGATAATGTGTTTTTTAGAGGTGAATGAAATTTGATAGTATAAAGTCAGGACAGTCAGGACAATATAAGACAATGTCTGTTGCATCTCAAAAATGAAAAAAAGAAAAGAAAAAAGAAAAACAAAAATTGAAGATGATTTACCCAAGTGCATTGTTATCTCAGGCGCACACACGAGAAGTTTTCTGTATACACAGTGACTTTTGCGTGTATATGACTCGAGTCTATTGACACTTAACAGTAATAACTTTCTTCAGAAATTTATGAGCAAGACTTTTTCAATTTCTTCTCATTTTTTAATTCATTAAACCAATGCACAATTTTCTCCAGTGTATATATAATATTTTAGTCACTTTGATTCCTGCATTTATATATATTTTTAGTGTTGCTGGGAAGATCTGGAAACTGGCCCCATGTTTTTTTTTACTAAAAGCAAACACCTATTGATAAAAAAAGATAGTAATTTTGTTTTACTATTACTATGTTAACTTTAGATTAAGTTTAGTTAAGCTGTCTGCAATATGGATAATATGAGGTGTTTGCTTTGTCCTATACATAATTTTTTCCCTTGAACAGAAAATTATTAAATTTTCATATTAATCTATATCTATAAGAATTAGAGCACATACTGTCTTATGGTGGAGGGCCCAAGACTAAAGCTGCAGTGATCAGTAAGACTGATGGCCGACCCATACTTTATCCAGACACAGGGTAAATTTCTCATACTCTGAACATAGGCCAAGCAAGCAAAAGGTTTTTGAAAATCTGCCTATGAGTGCACACACATTTTCTACCGATTTTAAGGCCTTTCTCAGGAAACTGTCATCCACCCAACACAAATTATATCCATCTATCTATCTATATATACATGTATAAATTTTAAGAATAAAAGCTTGACTAAACTATTAAATCTTTTAATACAAGACTAATTTATTTTCAGATTAAGAATCGCTCTCTCTCTTGAAGAAAACAATAAAAAAAAACTTTGTTTTACTTGTAAAATGTTCGTTTAACTTGTATTCTTGTGTATAACTGATACTTGTATAACTTGTATTCTGGTTAATTACAGACAAAGGGCCACCTGCCTTAATTGCAATGGAGTTCTATCACCAAGGAAAACAAGAAACAAAAACATACATTTACACTTTTATTTTCCAATTATGTATAATAAGAACTCCTCATACTTGGACTCTCAAACACTGTATGTACATAATAAGTCAAGAGATGAAAAATAAAATTACCTGTCTCGATTTACATTTAACTTACACTCTTATCTAAAATCAAAGCGTCTTCAGAGGGTCTTAGTGCTCTTCTTCTTCGTATCCGTCGGGAAGAGCATTAGCATGAGAATTGTGGAAGAGTGACTTCTGGCCTTCTCCCCATGGGAATCGCTAAAATGTAAAAAAAAAAATATACATATCAGTAAATATGTACAAGTGACCAAAAGGTGCACCAAGGCCCACCATATATATAGTAACTGTTACAGTAACTATCCTAAAATCATAAACTATATTCTATACAGATGCCATGGCCATAAACTTTGAATCTGGGTAACTATACTGATGCCAGAGCCACAAACTTTGAATTTGAAGTCTCAATAACCAGCCACTGCCTACCACAACCATTACCGAGGAACCAGTCAAGGCTTACAGGTGCTGATTAATCAAAAAATTAACTAGTGACATGTACACAATATGATGCACAGAAGATAGCATAACCAACCACATTTAATACCCCTTAAGCATAATATAAGTGATGCTGCCAGTGGCCTAGGAGAGTCAAAGAAATTATAACTCAAATTATTTACTACTACAAGTTTTTTTGTTTTTTTTCATTCATTGTTTCTTGGATTGGGATGAAATATGGGGAAGGGTTAAAATTAATACTTTTGCCTTTTCCTCAAGTGGCTCGGCATGTATACTGTTCATTGTACAATAATTTTTTTGAGGAACTTCAACTTCATTACAAAGGAGATACCAGTATCCACAAGCTGATCTTGCTTCAATATCACACTCAACTACTGAAAACTTGTATGGGATAAATAACCTACCTTGGTTCGGAGTCGCAGGTGTTCATAGGCAATGAATTCTGGCCGGCCGTGTTCGCCTGACATGAAAGCATTCACCATGCAAAGTGCCACAGCTGGAAGGGCAACCAAATAGGACAGCATCTTCCACTGCTTCGTGCCACCTGTTATCAAAGAAAAAATCTTGGTATTAGATGCTTAGGGTACTATTCAGGAGCATCAGTGGGGTGGGGCAGGAGGGGGGGATTTCCCACTAAGCTTTCAAAGGACACTTTCAAATGAGCTAAACATTATGGGTAATATATTTTTCAAATTTGTCCAAAATGTTTGGGGGAATTATTGTGTAATTATAACACATAAATAAATCACACCTACAGCTTGTCACCTTTGACCTGCATTTTAAATTACATCATGATATAGCTGAGAGTATATTCATATTTAAAAAAACAGCACAAAATAATTTGAAATGACAACATTCCTCATTAACCCAATGGCGCCAGGTGTACAAAAGAAAAAAAAAAACTACACTTAAACAAATAAAGGCGGCGACTTTGAGCGCGTGAGTAGGGGACATCAGCCCGAATCACTGGCTAGCCGCGCTTTGGCGCGCCGCCGGCTCGTTCGGCTGCACGCCAGCTTTCGAGCTCTTTGTTTACACGCCGATCGGCGTCACCCGGCACGAAGGGGTTAAGCTAATGGCATTATTTATTGAAAAATAAAATGGTGGCACTATGAAAGGAAATTAATTGCGCGGCTATATGCCATGCTGATAGCTAACTAAGCAAAAACCTACCTAATCCAGGGGATCAATCCTAACGACTCCTGATTGCCATACTTCTCTAGGTGAATTCCCTGGACCTAAATGTAGGAACTCTATAAAATACAAACTTTTGCCATCGATTTTTGCTTTTCTGTCTGAATTTGAGGCTTTCTGCAAGTATTGCATGCAAACAGAAGCCCTTCCTGATGAAGACAGTTGCAACTACTTCTGTCTGTGTAATTTCCATCTTGATCTTGTGCTAAGGACTTTCTATATAGCTAGAATATTTTTTTTATTGATAACTTACATAGAATAAATGAAAGTAAACAGACAAATTTTATATAGAATATTTTTATATACAATATACTTAATTGCATATTTTTAAGAATAAAATATGTATAAGAATCCTTGTCTCATTCCTAGGACCTCACTTGGAAGACACCATGTTTGTTTACAAGGGCATGGTTTTTACCGATTTAGTATTGTGATTAGGACAGTTCATATGCATATGCATATGTCTGTCTGTCTGTGTCAAACCTTTCATTACCCCAAAAGTCTTCAGAATGAAGGAGGTAAACAGGTAATTCTACTCTGAAAAAGAGAGCTGACCTTTTTGTCATCCTTTTCGTAGTATTTACAGGTTTATTCCAATAATACGAGAAACAGGTTAAGAAAATGTATATAAATATATATTTTGTAGTAAAATGGTTAGTAATAGCACAAAGAGCAAAACAATACGATTATATAAATGTAAGTAAAACAACTTCTGGTAACAAATATTGAAGGTAGGAAATACGATCTATTTTTTTTTTTTTCTAACTCCACAAGCATCAACAAAAATAGTACATACATTCGTGTGTGTGTGTGTGTGTGTTGTTTATATGTTATAATTCCTTAATATATACATTTTAGCCATATAATTTTGTGTTTCCTATTGCAATGTTAAACAATTAATATAAGTACATGGTGTGATTTTTCCCAACACATCGTATTTCGGGGTGGCTGTATGGCCCGGCGGTCTATTTGACACTTCTATGAAACATGGCCTCGGTGAAAGAAGAAGAAAACTGTCCAAAAGAAGCGCGTGTTGATTATGACACTGGGATAATAAATTACTCTAACAAAGAAATGGGAAACACCAATTTCAGTTTTGATTATCTGGTGCATCACGGTATACTGAAAGATACTCTGCTGTGTAAATAGTGTAGTGAACTGTGTTGGCTTTAATCTGACTAAGTGTCACTCATTACAGTGAACAAAAATCAAAAAGGTGTAATTTTCAAGTCAGTTATAAAAACACAGACACACAATAACCACTTATATACAGAAACAAATTTGTTATTTGTAAATATATATCCATGTGAATGTTTACCCAGCAGTATATCAAAGACAAAATAATAGGTATTAGTGACAAAACTATCTGTGACTGGTCCTCCTTTTGCAGAGATGTACTAATAATTTGGTATGGAACTAGTGGAAAAGATATAATTGGTGGAACTGGGAGGTGGAGCCCTTGATAGGTAAATACCCCAATGGGGGGGGGGGGGGGGGTCCAGGGCAGAGCATCTGATGGGTAAATACCCCAATGGTGGGGGTAGGCGAGGTTGCTTGGTTACAGCATTTTGTGTATAAACTTGACTTTACAGCTTGATGATGAGGTGTATTTCTGTAGATTTTAATGAACATGGGTGGGTCTGCCTGTAGCCTTTCTAAAAGGTAGCATTTTGAGCCGCAGAGTTTTTGAAGCTGGCGTGTCTGGCCGTATATTTTCAGTGTTGGTGGGCGTTCCTGTAAAGTCTCTTAAGCTGATTTTAATGATTTTCTTTTGTTGTTTTATGCATCACTGCATGTTATTTACTATATTTAAGCCTGTTTTACCCCCATAATTTTCCTGATATACATCATGCCCTCCCCTACTATTAGGACTTAACAAATCAAGATTGTTAGCGGAATATGGATTTCCCCCAACCAAAAATGGCATACATCTATAGTATACCTATAATCATCACCGATTATCATCAAATAAACACGTTATCGTGAAATACATATTTAGAAAGAATCACAGCATGTTCCAATCAATATCACTAAAGGGGAAGCCACATCCCAGCTGAAGGCAAGTAATATGGTTTCTAAAACATAGCAGACCACCAACATACATATCTAGTAAGATAAATTTCTCAAATATAATACTAGGGTAAATTTTCACAATACCTTTGTATAACTGATTGCAACGATTTTGGCATTGATGGATTCCTTTCACCCTCTAGTAGAAATCTGTAGAAATTATGCTGTGGAACCACCCATGCTAAATAGAGGGGGCTGCAACCGCTGTACCCTACCCCCCCAACCCTTCTGGGATTTTTACACTACCGTCTATATAATGCCTTTTCTTCGCTTCCGTCTATGGTCAGAATTCCTCGGTCTCTAATAATTTTGGAAAACTTTCCGCCTATGTCAACCAATCGTACAGTAAAATAAGTGTATGGAATGGATACCTTGACGAAAACTAAGACACTTTTCATCTATGGCAAAAACTGCGCAAATCTAAAATAAGGGAGATATAGCACAGAGAAGAGAGAAACTCGACCCTTCATTTTCTAAGTCCCCTTCCATGTTTACCTTGCGAGATCAAAACAATTGTGACGCGTAACTCATTACTGCGATCCAGCAAGTAGTCCATGTATTGCTACGCGCTTGTGAGAACGCTTATTTTGTCATTACTAGCGTCTGATTATCTGAATTCATGTATGTAATGCATTCTTCTAGTTTTATTATACTTCTCTTGCGTCTTTTGGTATTTTTTTACGTTATTCTGTACAATAACCTTTTGCGCATGCGCGTTTTCACCGGGAGATTTGACAGGTCGACCCACCGCCATTCGCTCAGAAACACCGGTGAAAAATGTTTCATTTCAAGTGCTGTGTCGACATCGGGTTATTTTTAAAACTATATTGTGGATATACAGGACAAATAGACATTCTCAATCACAAGCCTGATATTTGAGCCCAACAACTGCCCCAAATGCCGAAAAAAGTGGACGGAAGCGCACAATAGTTCGGTTTTTCGTTTTATAAAGGTATGTGGTATATTACTACGGGGGTCCAGGGGGCGTAGCCCCCTGGCTAGGCGCATTTAATACCATGGGGGTCCAGGGGGCAGAGCCCCCTGGCTAGAGAATGTATAGATCGTAGTGTATAAATCCCACAGGGTTAGGTTAGGTTAGGCTAGGTTAGGCTAGGCTAGGCTAGGCTAGGCTAGGCTAGGCTAGGCTAGGTTAGGTTGGTTTGTTGGTTAGGACGCATTGTACGATTATCACAGGGGATCTGGATTATGTGAAATCCCGTAGATTTTTACCGAACGGTGGGTTTGGTTTCCGTAGAGTTTTTCGAAATTTGGCGCGTCGGTCCGTAAGTTAAGTTAAGTTAAGTAAGTTTATTTACCACCCTGGCTATCTGCTCAGGCGTGGGCAATCATGATTACAGCTTTACATATATCTGTCACAGTACAGTAGTCTGTGACTACTGTAATAGTACATGGTAATATAGAAATATGTCATACATCATACAAAAAATAATACATTAATATGCTCTTGCCACTGTGCTTACATAACACTGTGTTTTTGTTTACGGCAGCTTTACATGGTAAATTTTGGATATAATGCAAGTATATCTTCCAGTGTATCAGATGAAATGAAATATTCACATAGCTCTCTATACCTCATGTTAGGTGGTCTGAAAGGCTGTATCACATGACATTCCGATATATAATGCTCAAGTGTTCGCTTGTTTTCTTCGTTACACAGTCTACATTTAGATTCATCTGCACTTCTTGCACCGTGCAGTTGCCAATACATTCTGTAACCTAAACGTATTCTGGCAATAATCACGTCACATTGTCTGGTTCGACTTCGGTGCCACCCATAGGAGGGCTTGCTATCCCTATACTGATCGTAGTGCCTTATGGTACAGCTTTCAGGCCTTTGAGTGTTCGTCAAATCTACTAGTTCTTCCTTGTAAGAACTTTTCAATATATGTGCAACCCTAGCAAGAGGCATCCCAAGATCTATGTTCACAGTGTCTTTGCTGCAGGCTTCCTTCGCCAATTTGTCTACGTGGTCGTGCTTGCTTATGCCGACATGAGATGGTAGCCATACAAATTGAATGTTGAAATTGCGCTCTATTGCACAAGTTACGTTACGCTTAATGCAACTTACAATTTCCTCATCGCCACCTGCTTTGAAAGAATTTAGTGTCTGAAGAGCACTCTGAGAGTCACACAAAACTACTCCAGAGCCCCGAGACATTAAGAATTCCGTTGCAAGGAGTATACCTGCCAGCTCCGTTTGTGTAGTGCTGGCCCAATTGTGCACTCTCATATTAACTTGATGTTGTAGTGAGCCATTTTTGTATACAGTACAAGCACAACCAGCTTTGTATCCAGACTGTACGGATCCGTCAACGTAACACTCGTATGCATCATCGCCCATAGACTCTGTGTGTTCCTTTACCGTTGCTAATGCAATTTGTTTTAACACGCAGTTATGTACACTGTTTTTTTGTGGTTGGCACGTAAGGTGCACGATCAATTGTGATTCTTTCCATGGTGGAATGGATCGACCCTGTGGTATTTTACTAATTGGGACATTGAGCTTTGTAATGTTCATGGAAATTTTGTGTATTAGAGGGCGCGCGTGTGTGTGATTAGTCACGTCTGCTTGCGTGATTTTGTGCTGCAATTGTTTTTGGAAGTCGACTTTGAAAGATGGCGGCGATGTCCATAGAGTTTCATGATCCGATTTTAAGCGTTTTTTGTGCTTGTTTTACACATTTCTGCTCTCTATTTTGCTTATTTCAGCCTGATTTACCCCGTAATTTCCCTGATCTACTTCATGCCCTCCCCTGCTATCGGGACTTATGAAAACACATCAAGTTTGTCGGCTGGAGAATCCGACGGAGAATATCATCAGATTCGTTCTCATCACACGAGAACAAATCTGATGATATAAAC